TGTCTGTCTGTCTCTGTCTATCTGTGTGTCTGTCTGTCTGTCTGTGTCTGTCTGTCTGTCTATCTGTCTGTGTGTCTGTCAGTACTTACAGTCCCACACTGATCACTTCAAACACTCACGTGTGCTGTGTCTGTGAGTCTGAGTTTTCCGAGGCTTCCATGAATGCCTCAGCGGCTCTCTGTGGGAACAAACGGCCGCACACTCAGTGCCCCGTGAGCGGAGGAGGAGGAAGAGGAGGAGGCCCGAGGAGCGAACGAACGGACCAATCAGAGAGGTCGGTGAGCTCCGAGGCTCCTCCCCCTACTCCCCCTACTCCTCCTCTTCCTGAACATTCCTCATCTTCCTGAACTCAAGAGAGGACAGAGGAGGACCGACACGCAGAGACACAGAGAGACAGAGACAGAGACACACAGAGACACGGAGAGACAGAGACACACAGAGACACGGAGAGACAGAGACACACAGAGACAGAGACACACAGAGACACGGAGAGACAGAGACACGGAGAGACAGAGACACGGAGAGACAGAGACACACACAGAGACACACAGAGACAGAGATACACAGAGAGACAGAGACACACACAGAGACAGACACACACAGAGACACATAGAGATACGGAGAGACAGAGACACAGAGACACACACAGAGACAGAGACACACAGAGACACGGAGAGACGGAGACACACAGAGAGACAGAGAGACACGGAGAGACGGAGACACAGAGACACGACGGATCCATTCAGCTCATGACTGTGGACACTGACACAGAAGGTGGGTTTCTGTTCTGGTTCTGTTCTTTATTATGAAATGATCTCCTCTGTGAGCTCCTTCAGAGGAGCTGAGGGGAGGTCAGGGGGTCCTGATGAGGGTCTGGGGGGTCTGATGGGGTGTGGGGGGTCCTGATGGGTCTGATGGGGTCTGGGGGGTCCTGATGAGGGTCCTGATGGGTCTGATGGGGTCTGGGGGGTCCTAATGAGGGTCTGATGGGTCTGGGGGGTCCTGATGGGTCTGATGGGGTGTGGGGGGTCCTGATGGGTCTGATGGGGTCTGGAGGGTCCTGATGAGGGTGTGGGTGGGGCTTCTTCAATGAAACTTAGGCAGGATTTAGATTAATATGTCATTTATTTGGATTCATGTCTTCAGCAGAGTTTATCAGACAGAAACATGATGAGGGTTATTAAATAACATGTTTTAAATGAATCATTCAGAGCAGAGATGGAGCGCTAAGTGTCTGTGTGTGAGTCTGTGTTCATACTGTTAATGATCATTTAGAGCAGCTGCTGTCTTTACTCCATTACTCCACTTGCTCCTAAATATGATCCAGAAATATATTCTCCCCAAAAGTCACGTGACTCTGACAATACTGACATGTGTTTAAAACTGTCCAACAACATTACAGAGTGTTAAACTGATCACAGTAACTGAAACCTCCTCAGTCTGCTGAGGGTTAATGATGATCACACGAGGACACTTGTTAGTCTGTTCCAATGAATGAGAGGAAGGACTCTTGTCTCTGTGGGATCCTTGACATTGAGAAACACCCAGAGTCTGAATAAAACACTGACTCTGTCGCTCTGGAGGAAACAGAGTCGAGCTTCAGTCATCAGTCTCTGCAGGAAATCATCTCCAGGATCAGAACTGATCCAGGATCATCTCCAGGATCAGAACTGATCCAGGATCAGCTCCAGGATCAGATTGGATTGGTGGTCCTGCAGGTCGATGGGTCGCAGTGTGAAGACAAAGAATATGTTTTATTTTGTGGTGAACTGTCCCTTTAACATCAGCCGGGCTCCCACAGACCTACAGATGAATATGTATCATGGTCGTCCGTTGAGTGTAACCACGTGTGTGTGTGCTCCTGCAGGTCGATGTTGGGTCGTGGCGTTAAGAGGAAGTGGAGTTGTGTGGAGGAGCTGGAGGTCGATGTCCTGCCTGCAGCCGCTGCAGAGAAGGTGAAGGATGTGGAGGAAGACGAGGGCACGTTCCTGGTGGGTCCGTCCAGATTGGACACGAGCCACCTGCAGCAGCGTCAGCTGGTGCTCGGCCTGTGTTTGGAGAAGCTGCGGGGGTACCAGGCGGGGGTGGAGCTTAGCCTGCGACGCTCCGTCCTGCTCATCAACATGCTCAGAGAGATCCAGGAGGACATGCAGAGTGACGGGGCAGGAACTTGCACGCCGGACGTGCTCCTCCACCCGGATTCCTGTGTTCTCAGGGACACCTTCAGGGAGGACATCTCGGTGACGTGTCCCGGGTGTGCGGAGGATGACAAGGACAGCCTGTCTCCCCTGCCGTCCCCGGAGCTCCCGTCTCAGGAGACGAACATCTTGCCTGACCAGCAGAAGCCTCTTCCCTCAGCGGCAGTCAGTACTTTCAGTGATGCAGTCAACGCCATGGGCTACCTCAGCGACCTCACCCTGGATGACATCTTCGAGGACATCGACACGTCCATGTACGAGACGTCAGACCTGCCCTCAGCCTGGGTGGCGGGCTCACTGTGGCCCGTCAGCGTGTCGCTGTGGGCAGATGATGACGTAAAGCTGCTCTCTCCCAGCCACGCCTCAGCTGGAAGTCTCCAGTCCTGCCTGATGGACCTGAACGAGCTGGACCACATCATGGAGGTCCTGGTGAAGTCCTGATCCGACTCTTGGACGTTTGCTGCACCTGATCAAAGACTCTGATGACAGCGGAGGAGGCGGGGATCATGGACTGATACCAGAATGCTGGACTTTAAGACTCCGTCTGATGAACTTCCTGATCACAGAGCTGACGTGTGAGGAACCGTCAAACATCTGCATTTATTTATTCATGAAGGTGTGCCTCAAACTGAACTCTGAATATTTATTATGATAAAGAACCATTTGTAAAATGTCCTGATTCTGGTCGTTTGAACTCAGGTTGACAAAAAACGGCAGGTACAGATTTTTATGCAAAACAGCTTCACTCTGAAACTTTACTGTTGATATTCAACAAGGCAGAGAGAGACCGGTCTCTACGGCCTCAAGTCTCAGATCTCTGCGGCTTCAGGTCTCAGAGCTCTGTGGCCTCAGGTCTCAGGTCTCAGAGCTCTGCGGCCTCAGAGTCAGCCTAAGTCGAAGCAACATGTCTGAGTGAGTCCACAGCTGAGGAGGAGAAGGAGGAACCTGATCCGCCAGTGTGTGTGCGTCAGTCGGACTGTTGGATAAGACTTGGTTGATTATTAATTGAATCCCTTCAGTCAGCCCGGAGGGTCAAGGTTTCGGCTCCTCTCACTGTGACTGGATGGTTTTTATCTGCAGCTTTATTTGGCTCATGAAAAGGAGACTGTGGCCACTGAGTCCGTGGACGTTCAGTCTCTGCAGACGAACGCCATGTTCACGCTGTGTCACAGAAGATATGGTCGACGTCTTGTTTCTCTGACAGAGTCAAATGTTTGAAGAGTTTATGAAACATTATCATTATTATTATTATTATTTATGAATGAAAACCAGCCACAGCCTGCAGCTGATGTCATCTGTAGGTTTGAGTTTAATTTACTATTCACATTTCTTTATGACCTCTGACGATCGAGCCTATTTACAGTTAATCCATCATGTCATCAATGACACATACAAACATGTATTTAAGGTCCCGTCTACACCTGGACACATGTTCCTGAAAACAGATATTTTTCCTGTTTAAAAAAAAAACTGTCCACACGACTTTTGGTTTAAAAAATATATCCGACCAAACTGGACAACAGAGACGACCTTCAACGTTAGCTACCACCTGGTGTGTGACAGGAAACAACGTGTTGAGGCTAACGTTAGCTACCACCTGGTGTGTGACAGGAAACAAACGTGTTGAGGCTAACGTTAGCTACCACCTGGTGTGTGACAGGAAACAACGTGTTGAGGCTAACGTTAGCTACCACCTGGTGTGTGACAGGAAACAAACGTGTTGAGGCTACCGTTAGCTACCACCTGGTGTGTGACAGGAAACAAACGTGTTGAGGCTAACGTTAGCTACCACCTGGTGTGTGACAGGAAACAACGTGTTGAGGCTAACTTTTCCAAACAGATCCAGTTCCATGCAGATCTCATCACTGATGACTGAGGATGAAGGAGCGGACTCATACATACGTGTGATGCTCTGGACATGCTAACGTTTTCCTTTATTCTTCATTATCCACAGTCCCACTGTGGACAGTGTCCTACTGTGGACAGTGTGCACAGTGTTAGAAATCTGTTATTGAACGTGAAGACATAAAGGAAAATATCTGTTTTCAAGAACCTGTTGTAGCGGCCTAATATCTGTGTCAGTGTTGCCAGATCTCGCGAGACAAATAAGCAACCAGGCATGTGAAAACAAGCCCAAAACAAGCAACGTTTTCTACGGAGCCCCCCGAGGTTCCGGTGAGAGAAAATTAAATAAACTGTGTGCACGGTTTTACAGTCCGTGGGGACAGATTGTCAATTTACATCCATGTGGACAGATGTAGTAAACTGCGCAGTTTATTTATTTTTCTCCCCCCTGAGCTTCAGGACAACGACCACAAGAGGGAGTGAAACCACCTTTTAACATTATTTAACATTATAAAACAGATGGGATATCAAATATAGACTGATGTACTAAGTACATTATATACACAGTAAACCTCTGATAATTAACATTTGCACACACAAATAAATATCATCCTGAATTCACAAATTATTTATTTATTATTGCTTTTTATGCACTCATCTAACTTTTTTCTTTTAGTTACAGGAATGACGTTTTCCTAACCAGAAAAAAAAAGAGATTGCCCTGCTCTGCCTCTGATTGGCTAGTACTCGTTGCATAAGGGTCAGAGTCAATTAGAAGCAGGATGCGGGTGGGAAAAACTCTGCTGTCTCCTGTGTGTATGGGGAAAGGGAGGGACAGAGGGAACAGTCAAGACAAACTATCTTACGTTTAAATAACATATTGAAAATATCTGCTTGACAACTTATTATTGAGCTGGGAACAAGCCCAAATAAACAACTACGCTTTAGAAACAAGCCCAAAAAAACGCGATCCGCGACTACCAATATTTGTAAGCGACTTTACAGAAAAACAAGCCCAAAGTTGCTTATAATAAGCGGACTTGGCAACACTGATCTGTGTCCATGTGTAAACACAACGGTGATGTAATCATGGTGATGATGTGTCTAAATGAGAAGCTGATCACCTCACGTCAACAGTCAGGAGGACGCTGCCACGTTCCAGACCTGAGGAACCAACTATTGAACCAACAGAACCAACTATTGAACCAACTATTGAACAAATAGAAACAACTATTGAACCAACTATGGAACCAATAGAACCAACTATTGAACCAACAGAACCAACTATTGAACCAACTATTGAACCAACAGAACCAACTATTGAACCAACAGAACCAACTATTGAACCAACTATTGAACCAACAGAACCAACTATTGAACCAACTATTGAACCAACTATTGAACCAATAGAAACAACTATTGAACCAATAGAAACAACTATTGAACCAACTATTGAACCAACAGAACCAACTATTGAACCAATAGAAACAACTATTGAACCAACTATTGAACCAATAGAACCAACTATTGAACCAACTATTGAACCAACAGAACCAACTATTGAACCAATAGAAACAACTATTGAACCAACTATTGAACCAATAGAAACAACTATTGAACCAACTATTGAACCAATAGAACCAACTATTGAACCAGCTGCAGCCTGAGTCTGAAGTTTTACCACCATGTTTGATGAGTTTTAAAGTTAATGTCTATTTGAATCCTGTTCTACCTTCTCAGGTCTGTGTGTGTGTGTATGTGTGTGTGTGTGTTGTTGGGTTACACTCCATCATCAGTGTCCTCTCAGTGTTCTCCTTTCAGATCAAAGTGTCCCGTCCTGTCTCTCTGTGTCCTCTCTATGTCCTCTCTATGTCCTCTCTGTGTTCTCTCTGTCCTCTGTATCTCTGTCCTCTCTGTGTCCTCTCTATGTCCTCTCTATGTCCTCTCTGTCCTCTCTATGTCCTCTCTGTGTCCTCTCTGTCCTCTGTATCTCTGTCCTCTGTATCTCTGTCCTCTGTCCTCTGTCCTCTCTGTGTCTTCTCTGTCCTCTGTCTCTCTGTCCTCTGTCCTCTGTCTCTCTGTCCTCTCTGTGTCTTCTCTGTCCTCTGTCTCTCTGTCCTCTGTCTCTCTGTCCTCTGTCCTCTCTGTGTCCTCTCTGTGTCCTCTCTGTGTCCTCTCTGTCCTCTGTATCTCTGTCCTCTGTATCTCTGTCCTCTGTCCTCTGTCCTCTCTGTGTCTTCTCTGTCCTCTGTCTCTCTGTCCTCTGTCCTCTGTCTCTCTGTCCTCTCTGTGTCTTCTCTGTCCTCTGTCTCTCTGTCCTCTGTCTCTCTGTCCTCTGTC